CACTGTCAGGCACAAAAAAGCCAAAAAATATAAATATACATAAATATGTATAAGTTATATATACTTACAAATATGTATGCTATATGTCATATAATACAAGTGATCAAATTCAGTTAATAATCTAAGTAAATAAAATAGCTGTTTTTACCATCTTCAGTGAAAGTTAGATAAGCAATTTTTCAAAGAGTTTTTCAAGAGAAAATTTAAGCATATATATTGAAAATGGTATTTTCAAAATTGATTATCTTCCCAAAAGAAATTAATGTTTTCATTCTGATACAGGTAGTAACAGATGTTTCTCTGAGAGATATTAAAATACACACACAGAGAAACATATACAGAATTACACACATACACATATACTTACAAATACACACATGCACACAATTAAGAACACAAACATACGTATAACTTTTCTTCATTCTGTTAAAGGGACCCACATAGGAAGAGGAAAACATACTGAAAATAAATCCATATTTGACTTATGATTACCTATGAGTGATGGAATAACGGGTGGTTTTCCATTATATTTTACTAGATTTACCAAATTGCCTTTAATAAACATGTATCCTTTTTCTCTAGTTAATAAAAATATATTACCCCAAAACTTTGCCTAACATACCAATGATTTTTTTTTGTATAATTTTAGGTAATTCTTGTCTATTTACTCTTTCATTCAGTTGTTCATTTGTTTGTTGAGTTGTTTATTATAGAGTAATAAGCACCTTCCATGTGCTAGCCATGTACTTAAGTACTCGGGTTACAGAAAACAGAAAAATACAGTTTCTTTCCTCATGGAGAGCCCATTGGAACACAATGCCCCAAATAATATAATTACAACATTTGAGGAAAGATCCATTTTTTTATGAAGGATCAGAATAGATTTAATTTGGATATAGCTGACCAAGCAAGGCTTCCTAAAGGAAATATATAAACAAAAACCTGAAGGATCAGTTGGAGTTAGCCTGACTTGGGAAAACATCTTTACTCAAAAGGAAGAAGAAAGGATGAAAGAGAAAGAAAGAAAAAAAGACAGACCAGTGTTGCTATTGTTATACTGAAATGTTCATATGTACTTCACTTTCCATCATGCCATTTACCCACTATTTAAAAATTCTTTTAACTAAATTATTTTTAATGGCTTTCACAATGTTGATTTAGTTTGAATACTATGATCCTATTCACCCTAGACACTGACTAAAACGTTAGTATTATAAAGAAAGAATTTCTTCACAGATTATATAAAGCCCCCTAGCACTGGGAGATAGAAGATCTTAAATTGTACTGGTTAACAGGGAAGATAAAGCCAATCAAATTCATTTGCCATTAAATTTTTATTTCAGTGTATCCCATTTGGTACAACTATGTCATATACTGTCAATGCCCTTTTGTGAATCATGGCTAAGCCTTATCCCTAATAGAAATAGTTGAGCAGAAGAGATGGCTATGGTAAAGAAAACAAAATATACTGCCCTTTCCTTAATTATCAGAAGTTATATAAACAATATGCTTTGCCTTTAAATGGAAGAAAAAAACCCACCTCTTAAATTGAATACTATAAAAAATGAGTATTATTACTCATTACAATATAGCATAAAATCCCTTTAAATAAATATGTGGCAACCTGGCTGTACAACATACTTTCTTCTCTGTCACTAGCAGCATCATGATCACATGCTCTTCTTGTCCATCCTAGAAATTTGTAGGGCCACCGAATTCTGTAGGGCCACCAGGTAGTGGTTACATATTAGTCCATTTTTTGGTCCATTCAAGTCCTCACAGGAAACAGACTGAAGACTTCATCTTTCAACAACTGACTGAGTTCAGACAACATTTTTCCCTGGGAACACGGATTTGTTCTTTTCAAAAAGGGGTGGCGTGGTTGCTCTATCTGGCTGCTAAGAATCCACATGGAAGATAAAGTTTGAAAAGGTGTGCCTTGAAAATTAGGTGAGTTAAGCATTGAATAAACTTTTTAAGTTCTAGCAAAAAGTATAGCTCTTACAGAATGGATGTAAGCAAAGAATCTACCTTTACAATGTATTTGTTTTCTCCTCCTTTTTATTTTTTTAATTTTTATTTTTAAGAGTTTATTTATTTATTCATGAGAGACACACAGAGAGAGGTAGAGACACAGGCAGAGGGAGAAGCAGGTTCCATGCAGGGAGCCCAATGCGGGACTTGATCCCAGGACCCCAGAATCATGACCTGAGCCAAAGGCATATGTTCAACCACTGAGCCACTCAGGCACTCCTCTCCTCTTTACTTCTTAGTGGAACAACTACTGAATGTGTGAGATTATATAACTTCCTAAAAAAAAAAAAAAAAAAAAAAAAAAAAAACTAAATGTTCCCAAAGAATGTACTTGAATGTTACTTTTGTTTTTTTAAAATGTATCTATAACTAATAGACATTAAAAAAATCAAAAGAAAAGAATTTAATGCTTAAATGTTCTTTTCAAACATACTACAAATGAAAGTCTTAATAGTTCACCTCTGAAACTGAAGTCATTAGAAACACTAAAATCCGGGATCCCTGGGTGGCGCAGCGGTTTGGCGCCTGCCTTTGGCCCAGGGCGCGATCCTGGAGACCCGGGATCGAATCCCACGTCGGGCTCCCGGTGCATGGAGCCTGCTTCTCCCTCTCCCTCTGCCTATATCTCTGCCTCTCTCTCTCTCTCTCTCTCTCTGTGACTATCATAAATAAATAAAAGAAAATTTAAAAAAAGAAACACTAAAACCCTGTGTGTGTGTATATGTATATATATATATATATATATACATATACACACACACACATATATATATATTTTAAGAGACAAAGGGGTCTTGTGCATGCACATGAGCAGGGGTGGGGGGAGACAGAGAGAATCTTAAGCATACTCCATGCGTGTGTGTGGGAGACTCAATCTTATGACCCTGAGATCATGACCTGAACAGAAATCAAGAGGCAGACACTTAACCACTTAACCAACTGAGTCATCAAGGCACCCTTAAAATCTTATTTTTTAAAAATATAAATTTATATAATCATTTAGGCAAGAAATGTGCCCTATCAAGTCTATTAAATATGAAAATAAGTTCATTTCTTTTCTTTGGGATACAAACTCTGATAAATACTAGGATGCTGACATTATGAGAAAGGAACTAATGATCTGAAATGATTCAGTTTTTGGTTTGAATGATTAGGTTGTTTGTCATCCTTATGTTAGTGTGGTTAAAGTCTACTTTTCTACCTGGATTCTTCTAAGCCCGACCAACCCTGTCTATCTGGCAACACTGTTTTCTTAAACATGTAGTGTCATTCTAATTATATAAGGAGGACTTCCTTATTCATATTGAAGGAACATCTAAAAGCAGAGGAAAAAAAGCATGTCAGGAAAGGGTTATCCCTTTTAACCAAGAAAAGAAACTCAATCAATAGGATTTCAGTCTCATCAACATACATGAGAACAACACCATTAAACTTTATAAATTAAGTTCACTTTAAAATTAAAGAAATAATTTTGAGTGAATAGAACTGTCATTATGACAGGATGATTACTGCTCTGTGTTCTCTGAAAGTTTATGGCTAAATAAAAAATACTTTCAGGAAAAATACTTTCAAAGAATATAATTCTTGAGCACTACTGATTTGAAAAGCTACAAAAAGTATTCCTCTATATCATATATCTGGTTTTGAGCAAAAACTCTCTAAAGACCAAGGAGAGAACAAGGCAGGACTGATCCAAGCAACTTCTGCTGACAATGGGCTACAGTCCTGGGTTGTCTGGGATACCAGGGCAGGTCTCCTATGCTCTAGAAATACAGGGATCCAAGACAGTGGCTAATGTGGTGTAAGAAATATATGCAAATATATTGCCTGTAACTCGTAGGATGGAATGTTGGCTTCTGGTGTAACACCTTTTAAAAAGTAGTTCCTCTGCATACTTATTAAAGATGTCTGTCAAAGCTAAATAACTTGGCCATTCCATTCATTGATTTTTAAATAAGATGATATCAAGGCTTGGGAATGTGATTTTAGAAAAAGTGTTTTAACTTTTCCAAGCACAAAGGGTTGCATGAGGTCACCAAAGCCACAAAAACAAACTCTGAATCCTGAAAATTGATTCAAAAATAAATCAGATAACCTGTAAGAGTCTTTGAGAGAAGGTGCATATGAATACTCCCCTTGCTGCATCCAAGTTATGAGCCCCTTAAGGCTATAATATCTTTCATTTGATCAACCACAAGTTTGAAAGCTTGGATATCTTCTTGATCCCATTCTTGTGAAGACAGAAAGGAGTATTTATCCACTTGGATATTTACAGCACAGTTCCTTTGGAGAGCGAATAGCACCCCTTTTTTGTGTATGTTCCAGACTTGACCTCCCTTTGGCCTTGGAATTATCTAGTTTGTTTTCCTCTGTAGCCAGGTTCTAAAATATCATATACAGCTGTAGGCAAAGGAAAAGGTTGGTCAAATAGCCCACCCAGAGGTGCCATAATAAATAGAAATGGAACTAATGTATGTAGCATTAAGCAAGGTTTGACTTCATACCACTGTCTTCCAGGAGTCATTCGTATGGCAAGTTGGAAGAAAACAATGAAACAAAACAACATGAAAAACAAATGGGGGGGGGGGGGGAAGAAGCACTCCTTAGGGTCAAATGAAGCTGAGCATCATAAATTTCCTAGTGGCTAGAACTACTAGAAAGAAGAGATTGAGGAACATTGCTGAAGAATGTTGTAGGGATTTTGTTTCCAAAAGGGACCTATGCACCTGTTGATGTGTTTTCCAGGCCCTTGAATGATAACAATTTATGAGGCTATTAATACTAAGCCCAAGATTTATCAGATGTGCTGTTTGTCTTGTGGCCAATATAACCTCATAAAATTTGGGTTGCATTGGGTTAAAATAGAGCGTTCTGCTATTGGAGTTATTCAGAGCATTTAAATCGCTTAATCCTACAAGAACGGTGCATTTAGCCTGCCTATTAGGAGAGTCTTTAGGGATTCCTACCAGTTGCAGAGCCAGGCTGGAGGGGGCAGTCCATTGCTGGATGAGGTAAAATGGAGGCAGCAGGGGAGGAATGTGTCCTGGAGACAAGACGATGTTTCTCTAATCCATCCATGCCAACCACAGCCAGCTGAGCTTGGCGCACTGAGAGCGCACGTGTGTGCTGGGGCTCCAGGAAGGGCTGTTGCCAAGAAAAGAGCACAGTAGAAAGAAACATGAGACAAGCATTGAGGGAGACACTGAGAACGATGTGTAAACAAATTAAGTTCATCAGGTCAGAGACATAATAAACGGTGTGAAGGAAAAAGAAAAAAAAAGAGAGAGAGAAAGAAAAAACAAGATCCAGTCAATAAATCCATTCAACAGATGTTTTCACACTGACTGCCAGGGCCTGTCTGCCTGGCTGAGGAGGAGGTGATGGCAGGAGGCCTGTCAATTTGAACTGATTGAAAGAAACAGACCTTTAACCTCAAGAGGAACATCGACTTAGATTCATTTCCTATCTTGATAACAACGTTTTGAATATAGCTCCGGAATTGTTGCAACACAAAGTAGGAGAACAATTCAGCTGCTTTCAAATTGCCGATAAAGCTCAATACTGAAAATTCTATCTTGAATTTATTTAGTAATATTGATAATAAAATTTATGGACGCCCCCAAATCACCAATTAAATGGCTATGTTTTAATACCTTTCAGTTTTCATATTATAGTACAGAACAATGAATTTTTCATAGATTGAATGGTATAATCTCAATACTATAAAAATTTGTAGTTTATTTAAAGAGCAGTAAATATAATCTCAATGATTTAACAATGTTGATATTCTTCATACTTAAGTTATCAAATCAAAAACCCAGAGTTTGGAAGCTCCTGGCAGATTCACCTAGTCTGTTCCTCTGTCTCCAAAAAAGACAATCTCTGTGACACAGACAGGCAGCTAGTTTAACTATCAATATTACTCAATGAATATATTTCCTCTCCTTCAAAATAAGGGAATTCATAACCTTTGTGTTACTTTTTTATGTTTCTTTCCTTGTCCATATTCTGAACAAACATGGAAAACAGCTGAACAGTGATACAGACGATGACCATCATATGCCAAATAAGGAAACTGATATTCCAAAAAGGTTAATAAATTCCTTTTAGGTATAAGACTAATTTTCTATAATTTTAAAATTTTATATTCCTTTCTGCTTTGATCTACCTGGCTAGCATTTACTCGTTCAAGACTTGATACAAATATCACCTTTCCTTAGAGAGGATTTGCCTTATCCTTCCTGTTACTAACCTAACCCAACTGCTAGCACCCAACATATGCCATTATATGTGATACTTGCATTTCTAACTAGCACAAGGCTTGTTACACCCTAAGTATACAAATGATTCAGTTAGGATTTTAATAAATCTACATACAACATATCTGTACTTAATGCATATTACATGGTTTTATATCATTACAACTTCCCCTATATATGAGTTAATGCTGCATATAAATGTGTGAGTTAGGATTATGAATATGTATTTAGTTATAGACCATAGACAAAGACTACTCAACTTTTTAAAAATTAATAATAATCTAAAATTAACTTTAAGTTATAGTTAATATATATGTATATGTTGTTACTGTTGTTTTGCTCTAACTGAACCATCAATCAATTGGAAGGCATTTGTCATATTTGGCTTTTAGCACTGACTTTGATGATAATGATGTCAAGATCTAGTTCTAGTTATAATAGTTTTAACATTTTGACAAGAGTCTAATTCTCTTGTTATCTTGAGTGTCTCCATCTTCAAAGCTCTGAGGATACAACAGTAAGGTTGACATAGTCCCTTCTTTCATGGAATTTATATTCAGAGGAAATGCAAATGTGTAATTATGGCTTGAGGAACTTTCTGTGGGGAAAAGGGGCTTTTCTGCACACTGTCTAAAAGTGCATGGGTAAAAATATACCTGAATGTCTGAAATTCCCATCCCTTGTCTTTTCTGACTGTAATCTCTTTAACCCTCATCTAACCTAATGCAAAAGACCCTTGACTGATCACCCTATTTCTGAGACGACCCATCCTATTCCTTCTGGCAGGAATTCTCTTCCTAAAGCCCTCTGTAAGAAACATGTTGATACAGAAGTCTCTGAAAGAAACCAAAGTTCAAAGAACTTCTCCAGCCTAGCATTTTGACTCTCTTTGACCTGAGGCCAACTTGCATTCTCAACATTAGGTCTTTTATTCCTTTTCTAGGTTCTACCAAATCCTATCTACTATATAACAAATATTGTCCCCAGTGCTACATTCTGATTATCATGAGCCCTGGGCACTACTGCCTTTTTTGGGTCCCTCCTCCATAAAAAAATATTAAAAATTACATTCTATGCTTACATTGGCATACATTGGATTATTATCTATTACTGTGATATTCATTTTCTCTTTTGATTAAAAAATTAAAATTTAAAACATTCTGTGGGCCTCTTAAAGTATCATGGGTTCTGAGTACAGTATCTACTGTGTCTATGGACACTGTAGCCCTGACCATTTGTGTTCCATCCATCTATCTTTTCTGTATCATCTCTCTAGGTCTATGAAGCTGCACATTCAGCAGTCATGTACATCCTCTAAGGAAAATTTTAAATTTTCTGTAGAACTTCTGAAAACTCCTGCATATTAAATGCATATTAAAAGCATATTAAATGTGCTTTCCCTTTCCATTATATTCCCACCACATTGTTTTTCTCTCTCCTTTTCCCTGACATCATCTTTTACATTATTAGAGTTACTGCATGCCATAACCACTTATTTGGGCTCATACTCTGTGCCAGGCACTTTGCTAGTATGTTGAACCTTTTTTTATGTTTATTGCCTAGTAAGGATAAAGATACTAAATATTTCTAAGTATAGTGCAATTAAAAATACAATGAGTGCTGTATAGGATAAATGAAAAGGGCCATGAAATAATATAAAGAAAAATCTGATCTAGAAGGTGAGGGAACTTCCATCTAAGAACGTGATGTTTAATTTGAGATGTGAAGGATAAGTTGAATCAGCCATGTAAAGAGTGGGGAAAAGCTCTAGATTTGTTGTATGTGTGAGAGAGAAATTATCTTCTAATGTGTAACATTGAAAGCTTTTTGAACTGGGGGCCCATTGATTCATATATTCCCATGCAGTGTTTGACATAGAACAGATGTTAATAAATATAGGCTGAGTAAAAAAATAGCAAAGAGATACATAGTTATCCTTAAGATCTCACTATAAGGATAAGATAAAACAAGAAAACATATTATAAGCAATCGTAACATAGAAAAACCAAGAAATGATGAGTGAAAAATATAAGAAAATAGAGACCAGACAAAACAGTTACCAAAGGACAATACTCTGAAATTATTTAGTTTTGGAGCCAAGAGATCATGAAGGAAATGAGTAATTTCAGGATTATTTTTCCTTTATGCTTTTATGAGGTTTCCAAACTTTCTACATACCACCCATATTAAAACTTTAATTAAAAAAAACAGTAAGTGTTTTTATAAACAGTCAAAACTTGGACCTAAGAGCAGACATAGGTCGAATATTTTTGAATCTCTACCAAAAAAAGGAGTAAAGAGGAGAGAAATGTTTATTCACTTTCAAAAGAGTTGGCTACAATTATACACTTTACAAATGAAGTATGGTTTTTTAATGTATAGGGGGAATCTTGATAATCCAGTAAGGTACCTATTATTATGTTACATATTTGACACCAAAATATCACAAAATGGTAAGTCACTTTTATTTCAGATGGATACTACTCCTCAACAATAAAAAGCTTCCTGTTTAATGTTGAAAACTGTGATAGTATTTTTCTATTGTAGCTGGAATTGACTGAAGTGCTTCACCAACACTTTTATTTCTATTAGCAATTTTAAGGAGAGATAGTTTTGTCTGTAGTTATTTTCTATAGTTCTAAGTAAGTATAAAATACATGTTTCTGTTGCATTGTCAGAAAAATAAAACTTTGAAGAGTACAAACCTATTGTTAATAAAAATTAGATGGATATCCAGTTAAACTTTCATCTGTTGACCTCCATTGAAAGAAAATGTGTCATGCCCATTTAGTGAATAATATACTCTCACCCCAAAAAAGCATTTTTTTAAAAGATTTTATTTATTTATTCATGAGAGACAGAGAGAGAGAGAGAGAGGCAGAGACACAGGCAGAGGGAAGAGCAGGCTCCATGCAGGGAGCCTGATGTGGGACTCAATCCCAGGACTCCAAGATCACGCCCTAGGCCTAAGGCAGGTGCTAAACCACTGAGCCACCCAGGGATTCCAAAAAAAGCATTTTTGATTAAAATATCTTTTAAATACATTATATTGAGTCTGTTTCTTAACATACATTAGTCTTTCTTTTTTTCAGGTGATTTAATTGGGGATTTGGTTTTGATTGGTCACTTTGTCAGACTGTCATTCTGGAAAATTCTCTCCGGTAACTGAAATGTGTAAGACAACCTTTTCTTATATGAAGTGAGTCTAAGGCCACTATACCCAAACATCATTGGTCTCCTCTGACTGATAAAAATTGTAAATTACTTTCACAAAGGAGTTATTATGCACCTATTTTATAAATTTTTCAGTGATGCCTAATAAGACATTAATGTTATTAAGGCCCAGGCCTTTCTAATCATGGGGGGAAAGGCATTGCCATCTATTTGAAAGTGGGTAGGAAAAGCCTTGAAGTTCTCTATATGACAAGTACAATGTTCTTCCTTAGAATAAAATATTTATTTCGGGGTAGCTTGCTAATGGAGATTATGAGGTAATAAAGCCCCTAGGCAGAGGCAACTTCAAGGCTCTATTTTTTTTTTTTTGTAACAGCAGTGATTTTTGGTTATGTTTCTGTCTGGTTTTGTTTTGCTTTCTTATTGCCATTGCTTAGGGACCTATTTTATGGCTTCTGTGTTTTCACTTTGTTCTGGATGGTTACATTTGCTTCCAGACATGTGGGTGGCTGCTAATTATGTGTTCTAATCAATATCATTATGCAATTTCAGCAAGAGCAAATACAGAAATAAAAATTTATAGTGTTTAATCTTTGAAATAATCATTGAAATAAATTGGAATTATTTGAACTAGTTTAATAAAAAATATGACCTAAAAGAAAAAAAGATCATGGGAAAATAATATTATTTTTAAAAGTTAAAATTCCATTT